AACAGCAAGCACAGTACCTTTGCCAGCGGCTTGTGGCCATTTCTTGCGGACAGCAGTGTCCCTGGTCATCCCAGGCCGCGAAGGTTCACAGTCAGTTCTCACAGTGGGAAAGAGAATTGGGGAGGCTCCGGTGGATTTTGCAGGCCTTTCATGCTGAAAGGGGGGTGGTATGTATAGAAACGGGGGTGGTATGCACACACAGGCAAGCCGAGAGAGAGTAGACGACAGGCTGAATCACAGAACAACTGAGTCTCTTAGCTGCCTTTTCCCTTGAGTGCCGCAGCCACATGACCGACACATGGTTGGAAATGCAGGCCCATCTGTCATCGCTGGGTGTCCTTTGCTGGGGTTCCGAAAGGTGCAATACATCACACTTTAAGCTGAAGGGACATCTGTTGTTTGGAAGGCCCAAACTAGCCTGACTTAACTCATTTTGCTTACAACCGTCTACATTTGTTGCTTACTCTAAAGCAAGTCCCTGCAGTAAGCTAATTCTACTTTCAGTGACTATATCCTTTGTCTTATGAAAAAGCATTAATTATTCTGTACATTTTTACATACTTTTTAAATTAATAGAATATTTTCCTGTTCTTAAGACACACTCACTACAACACTCTTCTTGGCAAATTTACAGCAGTTTGAAGTTCAGTGAAAGACTGCGTAGAAAGCTGAGTTCTCATATACCCTTCTCCCCACCCAGCTTTCCCTTTTAATGACCACCAGGGGTTTACTTAGTACACTTGTTTCCTTTCAATGAACCGATATTGACACATTGTAACTAATGTCTATGATTTGTGGTAGTGGCTTGCCTTATATAGATCTCCTGATTTTGCAAGACTTACACTGTCTGGCATGCAAGATGATACCAACATACAGATTACTTCAGCGCTCTAAAAATGCCTGGTTCTCTGCTCCTCTACCATCACCATTACTGAAACTAGCTGTATCTCTAAGCCACAAGAAGCATTATGTTGCCTTATTTACAGTCTTCAGTCAATAAAACCAACCACCTTCACTGCACTTTGTAACTGTCTGGGTTAGATGGGGGTGGACAGAATCATGGTTCTCCACTCCAGTTCAGCTACACTTACACTTCTGAGTATTTTAAAGGAGGTTGTATTTTGTCCCTTTCCCACTCAACAGATTTTCTAACATTTCGCCATCCTAAAGCCAAGTTTCCCCATATAGCGCCAGTGTCCCTCCAGAGGGATGACCAAGATGTTTCTTTCACAGGGAAAATCCATTCACCTTATGAGAATTCCCAGTTTTTCATATGCATCATGTAGTCAGCCTCACTTCCATGCACTGATCAGGGAGAGTGTTGTCAAGGTTAACTCTCCACTGAACTCTGAGCATTCGCCCTCCTGCCTGTTCTCCGTCAACTACTTTGCCTGGTGTCTCCTTCCTTCCCCAGTGCTCCTTTCTGATAGTTGCTCTTACTTTCTCTTCCCCATGACCTCTTTCTCCTATTTTCCTCCTCCTCCAGCCTTCCCACGCTGCCCCCTGCTTTACTATCACCCTGTATCCGCTTGTCCTGCTCTTCCTTCACACTTAACCTCAGAGCCCTCAGATGTTTGCTGAAATGTCCAGACATTTTGGAAAGTGTTTTACATGGCTGAACTTCCTGTTGTACGAATGTCCAGTGCTTGTTGTATCCATTAACACGCAGTCCTCCATTTTGTGGGAAATGACAGCCTGATCCTTCCCTGTGGTAGGTCTGTATGACAACTTTGTGATCCACTCATCCTTTGAAGCTTTAAGCTACTTCTGCACCCCAGTTATTGTAAATATGCTGCCGTCAGTAATGCAAAACATACTCTTTGTTGTTACTGATGGTTATATATTCTGTGGCTACATGCCCGAGTTGATTGCTGAGTCACACAGTAGCCTTTTTTTTTTTTTTTAAAGATTTATTTGTTCATACAGAACTGGGGTACAGGCCAGAGGCTAAGGGGTGGCGAGAGGCTTCCCCAGAGACAGAGTGGGGAGCAGAACAGGCAGACTGATGAAGTCCACTGCTGAGGGGAGCAGCGGGCGGGTCAGGAGAGGTCTGGCTCGCCCTGTGGTCACCTGTCACCTCCGGGGCAGGCGGGGATCGAACTCATGCGGAAGTGGCTTTAGATTCTCAGTGCTGTGCTGTAACCCGCTGCGCCCCCAGGGAGGGCCAGTAGTCTTAATTTTTTAAGGTAAATCCAGTCTGCTTTCAGTAATGATTTGGCCAGTTAATATGCCAACAGTGTGTAATAGAATTCTTTTTTTCCATTTGTCTTCAGCGCTTCTTTTTGAGTCCTTTTGATAGATGTCATTTTTATGGGTGTGAGGTGGCATCTCATTTTCACCTCTTACCAGGAGTGACAAAAAACATTTTTCATATATAAATTCTGGCCTCCTAGACAGACTCAATTGTTCATATCTGTTGCCCATTTGTTAACTGATTATTGCTGTTGAATTTTGAGTGTTTTGTATTTCTTGAATAGTAATCCCTATCAATTATACATTATGTAAATATTTTTCCCATTCAGTAAGGTGTATATTTGTCTTATATTTTATTTTGCTATGTAGAAATTTTTTCACTAGAGCTAAGTTTATTTTCATTTTTAATTCACTTGCCATAGGGGTTGAGTTACCAAAAATACTTTTTATTATTATCTTGAATATCATCAATGTTTTCTTCTATGTATTTTATTTGTGTGAGTCTTAGCACTAAATCTTTCATCCATTTTGGAATTTATTTTTGTGTATGGTATTAGTGAGTAATCCAACTTCATCGTTTTTGTGTGGTTTTCCAATTTTCTCATGAGCATTTACTAAAAAGATGGTCTTTTCCCCATTTTATCATCATGGATATTTTATCTTAGATAAGATGCTGGTATATGGGTGGGTATATTTCTGAACTGTGATTCTATTCCATTGATACATCTATTTATTTGTGTGCCAATACCATGTTGTTTTTAGTAATATAGCTTTAAAGTTTGAAGTATCTTCTATCTTAAGGATGTTTATGCAATTAAAAGTCTTTTAATTGATCCCACATATATTTCAATAACTCTTGTTCAGATTCTTTCAAAGATAATCCTAAAATTTTGATGGGGATTGTATTAAATTTGTATGTAACTTTAGGCAAGATAATAATTTTGATTTTATTGACTTTTCCCATCCACAAGCATGAGATGTTTTATTTTGTTGTGTAGTCTTTTTGATCTTATTTCATTTATTGTTGCTCTTATTTTTATTCTTTCTTTCCTTATGTTTTCCCTTTTGTTGAGTTGCTTTAGGTGTGATATTAGGTTGTTTACTTGGGATTTTTCTTGCTTTTAATATGAAGCTGTATCACAATTATCCCCTTTAAGCCTGCTTTTGATGCATAAATAGATCCTGGTAAATTGCACCATCATCTTCCTCATATCAAAGTATTTTTTAATTTTTGCTTTGACTTCTTCTCTGACCCAGTAACTATTTAATAACATGTTTACTCTCGTGTATTAACAGCTTCCTTAAATAGCTGATTTCTAGTTTTATGGGCATTGTGGTCAAAGAAATTACTAAAAAAATTTCAAGGTTTTTTTTTTTTTTACTTACAATTGTCTCAAGCTATGATCTATTATTAACTATGCTCCATATACACTTGAAAAATATGTATATGCAGGGGTTTGAGTGTCCTACACATGTCTAATAGAACTGTGTAGTCTCGTTCCCCGTTTAGAACTTTGGTTTCCACTTTTTCACCTGCCCATTGTTGCACGTGGGCTATTAGGACCCCCTGGGATTACCTCCCAAGTTTTGTCACTGCTCCTCTTACACATCATGGTCTCCACTGTAGTGTGCATTTATATATACATAATAAAGTGCTAACTGGCTATAAAAAAAGTCACTAGCATTTCTGACAAGTTGGGTGGGAGTAGTAGAGTCTGTATCACGTGAAGCAACTCAGGACAGTCAAATACCTGATGATGTCACTCACAGGTGGAATACACAGGGGAAAAACAATTAATAAACCTAAACCAAAACAAGTCCTAGAAACATGATGCAGAATTACGGCTGCTAGAGCGGCAGAGAGCGTGGGCGGGAGGAGGAGATGAAGCCCAAGCGGCAGGATGACGGCGGCGAGGCGGAGGTGCAGCGGACGAGGGGCTCAGGGCCGGGCCCGTCAGGCCGCGCTGTGAAGCGACGTTACCGCAACTAAAGTGAGCGTCATCAGCTCAGCACCCGGCCTTCAGTTTATATATATATATTGACTCACTCTCTTCCTGCATCTCTCCCCAAAGTTGAAATGTTAGTATGGCAGTGAGGGTTGATTCCATTTGGTCTTTTTTTTTTTTTTTTGCATCTGGTGCTTTACCTGTGAGCACATCTGCTTTCCTTACCTACCTCCCCTCTGCTGACTGACAAGTTGTTGAGCTCCCCAGCTCTCTCCCAGTCATCATTCATTACCTTGGTGCCTCTGACAGTTGATGCTGTATGGGAAAAATCAGAGAATTCTTATATTGTTTTTATATAAATCACCTACAGATGGATTGTGTGTATTGGTCCCCAGACTGCTTCTTTCTTTACTACAGGGAAAGATCGGTCCAAAGACCCACCAGCACTAACTGAAATTGTTATTAAAATTCTAGTGCAAAGAAACACGGGCAGTCAATTAGCCCTTGTCTATTTCGCGTACCCCATGCACCTATGCCCAACATCAGCTATCCAGAAGTAAGATGTCACCAGAAAGACACCAGGCTGGTGAGGCGCTGTAAGCGCCCTGGTCAGTCCTCCACTGTCACGCTGCGCAGCATCACCTGGACACACAGGCGCTTCCCGACCCCCTCCTGTCCCAGGGCTTCTTATGTCTTCCTCCCTTCTGAGGGTAGGCCCCTCACACCCCTACTGTTACAGGGGTGTTGACAGTGAGAGAGGCTGTGCTTGTGGGGAGCCAGGGGTACAGTGAACTCTCTGTACCTTCCTCTCAGCGTGTAGTGCACCGAAAACTGCGTTAAAAAATGAGTCTGAAACATAGAGAAGGCACAATGGGTTCATTAACAGGAGACTTAAACGATGCCATTTCTGTGTTAGTCATCAGATGTTTCAAACAGATGTTATTTCCAATACAAGTTCTCTTTTGTGGTGAAGGTAAAAGAGTATCATGAAATGACTAAGTACTATTAAAACATTTAGTATTGGAGATAAAATTATTTGATCTGCAGTAAATGGACACGTATTTTAGGGGGAGCAATTCTGTGATTAAAAACAATGGTTTCACTAAATTAAGAAATCCCTGGAACAAGTTTGTACTTGAAACTGGTTGTGGTCTGGATACAATTCACACAAGCCATCTTACTTTTCCCAGCTGAAAAAGATACCATTGTCAAAATGTGAATACATTTTACACAAAATACATTCTACACAATTTCAAAATAAGTAACACTTTCAAGATACTGCTAATACTGAAAACAGAATAATCTCGTCAAGCCCCAAGACGGTCTCAGGCGGATTCCTGCTGAAGCCCAGCGTGGCACACAGCGAGGACGGGCAAGCCGACTCGTCTCGCCACACCCTTGCTTTCCGGCTCCACGCCTGTCTGCCCGGCCGTTCCGAGCCCGCGTCCTGTCATTCCCGCGCAGGCCTTCCAACGATGCCATGACGACTCAAGTAAGGCCATGCATGCGCTGGCGTGTGTGGCTAGCACATGGCACACACATGTCCAAACATTCTATTCTTGACCCACCCTGACAGACACGTGTGCGCACACGCACCAGCTCAAGCTCGTGTCCACATGCAGACAGACACACATCTCCGCTCAGGAAATCAAGTATCCCCGAAGAGCAGGAAAATAAAGGATGTCTGAGGCCATGATTTGGGAATATGTATTAAGTACTGCATCACTGTAGGAAGAATTTTAAATTTTTAAATTGATGTGCTTTTTTCATAAAACATACGAAGCAATAAAAGATATGCACATGTATCAGATTCGACAAGTACAGGAACATAAATAGGAGACTAAGCTTTCTTTTTGGTTTTACACATTTTAAATATTTATACTTTTCAATTCACTCTGGACCTAGCATGTGCTGGGGTTTTATATGCTGATGAAATCACTCTGCTAGAGAGTCAAGTTCAATAACAGCTTTCACGTTTATTCAAAGTTTATGAAATATATGGAGTCCATTTTACCTTACACAACATAATTATTTTTATGATAAAGTCACTTAAATCACTTGGGACCCAGCATGTCCTTGGGTTTTACCCACTCATCAAACTGTTCTGCTGTGAGATAGCCCAGTTCGATAGCAGTCGCCTTTAAGGTGGATCCGTTTTTGTGTGCTGTCTTTGCAATCTTTGCTGCCTTGTCGTATCCTGAAGGAAAAGGAAAAAGACAATGTAGGAGTGAAATTTAGTTTTCTGTAACAAAATAGAATCATTATTAGATACCAAGTATCATTTTTATTCTTAAGCATATTTAACGGTGAGCTGTTGGTTTTCACAAAGAATAGAAAAACAATCGGTGCTGAGGTATAAAAATATACATCTGAGTTATAAAAACATTCAAACATGATTAGGAATAATCCTTGTTTACACAGTATTAGCAAGCTAAATGCAGCGTCCAACAGAAATACAGAGAGTACTAGTGACTAGGAACTGGGGTGACGGGCTCAGCAGACTGGAAAGAAAGCTCCCCCAGAGTGGGAGACGCAGCCGGGGCTCCCGGCAGCTCTCTGGCCTCTCCCCGGACGTTACAGGAAACAGGCGGGAGTTTTACTGTAAGTACTTGCTTGTACAAAAGATCAGGGGAGCACTGTTTACTTCTGAGATACTTGCTTTGAAAGTTAGCCAGAGCAGGGGCAGGTCAGTTTTGCAGGTATCTTTAGTTTTTTTTTTTCTTTCCTTTTTTTTTAAGTCAGAATGCAAAAGCAACAAAGAACAGAAAAAACAAAAACAAAAACAAAAACTGAGCCAATGAAAGAAAAAAAAGGAACCTAAGATCAGAAGATCAGAACACTCTGCCCAAAGAAGGCTGCTGAGCCAACGTGATTATCAAGCAAGACGTTCCGGGTCACCAGGGCACTAAAAACATCTACAGAACCAGCTGGGGAGCGGACGCCATGGCACAGTTTTTAATTTGTGAATGCTGCGCATGCTGAAAAGGGCATTATTGACCAGAGTAACTCTGAGAAGGAATTCTCTGGTCAAACTTACATACTTAACTTCAATGTTAACAATGACGTTAAGTCTAAGCATTGTGCCAACCATTTTCAATTTTCTTCAAGTCCACAAAAAACTATTAGTGGACAGTCTGTTAAATATGAGCACAAAGAGACCCACATGTGGAACTGTGAGCTTCTTCAGTCACCAGGAAGGTGTGGTTTGCCTGTCTCCTGACATGGCCTTTAACTCACGTTAACTTTATCACCCGAAGGACTTCTACTCAGATTTAGGACATCTTAGCTGGCCTGAAAACAGATTCCCAAGTCTAGATGTGATGATCCATTCCCCACAAGAGGCACTGAGTTCCCCTGTTTATCTCTCCAGTCCAATGATTTTATGCAGTAATTTTAAGAGGGTAAATGTCATTATCAATTGCAAAACTATGTATCAAAGAAGAGGTAGTAGTATATCGGCCTCAGACCTCCATGAAGCTATCCAACGAGCTCTAGTTTTGTAAGACTGTACCTGCGGCTTAATGTGGGGTCAGGAATATAAAACTTTACCTGAAAGTTCAGGGTTATAAAAGAACAAGTATTTTAAAGAATAATCACATTATGCAAAATAACTACATCATAGCCTGGACTAAAGAGAAAATCAAAAACTATGTTACTACCTCAGTTCAGTGGTAAAAAGGTGGAAAAAAACCTCCTAGTACATAGAACAATGCAACAAATAACTCAAAACCTACAAGCTAAACAGTGTATTTAATGGGGACCACCAGGGTAAGTGGACAATATTTGAATTTATACCATGAAATATTTACAATTCTGGAAAAGACTTTCAATACAAAAAACCATGGTTTTAAACAAAGTATTTGTGTTTTCGCTGCTGTCCCTTTGTCTTTTAACTGATAGTTTCCATTTTGGGGAATTGAACAGAAAACAAAAGCAGAGAAAGAAGAATCATTCACTCCATCCTGCTACCAGCCAGTGCCACCTAGTGACATTACCCACCGCAGGACGTTCCCACATGCACGTAACAGTGAACCTTCTGACTCCACTACAATTAAAATAAGCTTGGATTACTTCCGAATTTGTCATATTTCAAATAAAATCAACAACAGGCAAGTTTTTAAATGTAGATGTTATCATAAAAAAATAGTGTCTTTCAACATAATTCGAATATTTTAAGATTACTGAGACAACATCCAAAACGAACTGGCTATCCACACTCATCCAGTAGTCTTCATATTTTTTCAACATTTTGACTTTACTTTCAAAATAAAGTTATCATTCCTTAAACCCTTACCTATGTGAGGATTAAGGGCTGTCACCAACATTAGAGATTCATTCATTAACTTGTTGATCCTTTCTGTGTTGGCTTGGATTCCAACCACGCAGTTTTCTGTAAAGGAAACGGCTGCATCTCCCAGCAGTCTGGCTGAGTGTAACACATTTTTAATCTGAGAGAGACAGGAAGACTTATTAAGCCTAACTTTTGGGGCCAATAACAAGTATTTGATGAACAAATGAATATGTAATTCAATAAATAAATAGCACTTCTACAACTCATAAGGCACTATGGTAAAGAAAACAAATGACACAGAAATCATGAACACTTAAGGGCACTGAAATTTAAACAAGGTGGAAAACCACACACACACACAAGTAACTAAAATCTGACCAAAAAATAGATTTGTCTTAAAATAAGGATTTACAAGAGATTTATTATTATGCACCTATATTTGCCAGGCAGTTGGTATTATTGATAATTATTTGGAAATTAACTGGAAAGCAAAAGTTGAGCTGTCTATTTTCCACTAGAATATAGATTCCATGATGGTAAAAATAGAAATTTGTCTTGCTTACTGTCTGTCGCCCAGCAACCAACAGCACAGTACCTGATACACACTAATACTCAACAAATATTTGGTGAATTCAATGAGTGAACAGATTTAATGTTAGCCATTCGCATGTTCCAATGAAATTAAAATCAGACTGCATCAGATGTTAAATGAAAATAAGCCTCCGATCTGATATATGACAGTACACAAATAGAGGGCTCTACAAAATGACACCTCCATCATGGGAAGCCAGGAAACTGGTAAAGACACCTTGTTTCATATTCACAAAGATAAAGAATAGTTTTAAAGGGCCCAAGGAAGTGAAAGAGATAGTACTAAATAAATCCTGACAGGAAAGGGGAGAGATTCGCAGAGAAAGTGCTTAGGAGACTGTTGAAGAAGGCAATCAAGAGGCTGGTTGGTGATGAACAGACTAGACTATGTGGTGGTTGGCATGGGGTGATAAATACAGCTGCTGAAATAAGAAAACCTACTCTGGAACCTGTACAAAATTATAAACTAACATTAACTCCATAAGATAGGAGGGAAAAACAACAGAACTGGGAGCCTGACCCAAGCAATCAAGCTCCACACCTCCTCCCCGTAAGATGCATGACGCACCTCATAGTTTTACCCCTTAGAACCTGCATTACCAGAAGCTGCTCTGAGGCAGCAGTCGTGTGGTGTATCGAGACTGTGTGGGTGACCGAATAGTGTTAAAACCACTATATAAAAGTCTAAGATTTGGTGGTAGAAAACTACTGGGCTTGCAGCAGCTCAAAACAAACCTTAAGTACCCTTGGTTAGCAGAACTGCCACATCCCGATAGGAACGTTCGCCTTGATCTCTATTTCTATGTGCCTATCCTGCGTGCAGCTGGCTTCAGTGTAACGAACGGAGTCTAGAAATGTGACTGCAGAATTAAGGTTATTGGAGCAGGAGAGAACGGGTGATACCAAACTACAGAGGAGGTCCACTGGTTTATGATAAAGGGTATGGGTGTTCTGGAGCTGGTGGGTGTGGTGATCCTCCTCTCTGAGGAGATGTGAACCTCTTTTTCTGAATCAAATACAATGCTGTAAAGCAATGTTTCCTCAATAAGTAATTTTTTTAAAGAATTATTTTATTCACTTATGCATACAAGAGCTGAGTGTAGGCCAGAGATTCGAGGGTGAGAGGATTCAGCAGAGACAGTGAGGAGCAGAGCAGGGAGATCCACTGAAATACACTGCTAAGAGGAACAGTGGGCAAGGCAGGAGCGCTCTGCTGTGCCCTGTGGGTCAGCTCCCTGGCCAGGGATCAAACTTGTGCCACAGTGGCTGGCCATAAATAAATAATTTTTTTTTACAAAAGGTAAACCTATACTTGTGCTGAGAGTCATCTATAAATGTGTGGAATCTCTAAAAACCTGTATGCAAGCTAAAAACCAAATTCATAACATTAAAAAGTTAATTTAAAATTTACCATCATTGGCTTGAAAACATTCAATTCAAAATGTCCGTTGCTGCCTCCAACAGTAACAGCGACGTGATTCCCCATTACCTGGGCCGCGACCATGGTCATCGCTTCACACTGGGTGGGGTTCACTTTGCCTTCATGAAAACCACCAAGGAAAGAACGCACATCAAACATGTTCATGGTGTCAGGTATTAAGAAATATTAGGGTTTACGTCAAATTCAAGAAAAAGAAGAAAGCTAATTTTGACAAATAAGCAAGGCATAACATAAAACCAACCACCAGAGCCAGTCTCATGAAAGGAGCCAGCTACGAGAGTTGGGTCGCCACAGACCGAACCCCCAGCAGCTAACGAGTAACGGGATGTTACTGTAGTAGTCTTCGTGCTCAGAGTTTTCCTTCATTTTAGAAATGTCTGTAAAGCCAGTCCCGAGTAGACAGCAGTGTGTAGAAAATGCAGGCTCTGCACTTGCAGAACCTGAAGATTAGTGAAACAGAGCCGCTGACTACAGCGCTGAGGCGTGAACAGCGAGATGCGCAGACGAGGACGGGACACTTAGATAACAGTGAGCGCCTCGCCAACACATGGGAGGGTCTAAGAGGAAGCTGATATTACGTTGTACTTCTGTATTCACCATGAGTCTCCAGAATGCCACCATGCTGGCAACACCCTTCTGATAAGCTCAAGTTGGAATCAAACAACCCCGATTCCTCCGATCATAAAAGGGAACACATGGGGAAGACTATTTGCTCATCTGTGACTCACCACGTCTTTTTAAAGCTATCACACTGAATCTGTAATTAACTCGTGTCACTTTTTCAGCATGAAGTGCTTTAAAATCAAAGCGCTTCTCATTTTACATATGCAGATATAAAAAATAAAATAAAAGTAGGGTTTTTCCCACTATTAACAAGTCACCTTGTCAGTTTTAGTCTAATCTCTATGAATCTAATTCCATCATGATGTACTGCTCTCAAGCTTGTTACCTGCTAAATGATGAGTAGCCCCTTCTTTTGCTGTCAGTAGTGAGAAAATGATGAATAACTTGCTTCTGAGTTATTCTTCAATCCGAAGTCAACTCATTAGTCACTCGTTAAATGTCACTGTTCACCCACCTATATTCATCGAACAGTACTACCCACACTTCTCCACAGGATCCAAGAAATATGTGTTTGTCAGTTTACTAAGTTGCAGATATTTAATGTGTTGCTTCCCTTATCTAACTTCCTTTATTTATCCAAAATAAAAAGCCAAAATGAAATATCGGACATTTGCTATCATTCAGTTTTATTCAACCCACGTTGACAATGTTAGAATTCTTTTGGCTGTGGACTGTGAAAGTGGAACTACTATACACTTTCTAAGGTGGGAGTCAGAATATAGACTACTAAATTCTTTTAAAAAAATTTTTAAACATTTATTTTCATTTATCTGTGCATAAAAGAATTTGGTTCTAGACCAGAGATGTGGAGGCAGGAAGGTGGGAGAGGAGTCACCAGAGACAGAGCGGGGAGCAGAACAGGCTGACTGATGGAGCAGGCTGCTGAGGGGAGCAGCGGCGGGTCAGGAGGGGTCTGCTGCATTATGTGGGTCAGCTCCCTGGCTGGGGGTGGAACACCTGCACCGGAAAGGAGGTCCTGCTAACTAAAGTTCTTGTTTCCTCTATTACTGCATGGCGTTCCCGGTCTGTGCAGCAAGCATGCCACACATGTCCCACGTTTAACATCGGAAAATGTTAAAACAAAAAGAAACAGCTCCATAGATGAGAATGACTAGGTATTAGCCAAATTCTAGCTTACCTGGCATGATACTACTTCCTGGTTCATTTTCAGGCAAAATTAGTTCTCCGAGACCTGAGCGGGGACCAGAGCCCAGGAAACGAATGTCATTGGCTATCTTCATCAGACTGCAAGCAGTGGTGTTCATTGCGCCACTCAGTTCCACCAAAGCATCATGTGCAGCCAGAGCTTCGAACTTGTTTGGAGCTGTGACAAAAGGCAAGCCTGAAGAGCACAAGAACAGCATACCTGAGCTAAAAAGAAAAATGAACTATCCAGTAACAACAAGTTCAACAATTAAGCTGCATGCTTTGGGAAGCAAAAGGCCAGACGAACATTTTATTTCAGAAGAAAATCCTTGTTTTAAAATTTAACCGTTGTTCACATTCTTGATGACATCTGAAGAGGTTGAATCAGTGTTACGAGCCAATGTCTTATAAGCATGGTGTTATGGCAATAAAACAAATAGACAAATAAAAACCTCTTCCAGAAAGGCGTTTCTTCATAAATCTATGTGAGTAAACAGGGAAACGGACCTTATTACTTCCACGGTGTCCACCTTGTCCGAGCAATAGTAAGCATGTTTGGCAAAGTAAAAACTTACAAATACTTACAATACTAATTATGAAAATACGACTTTATATCTCTTCCTCCAGTATTTGTGTATAATGTATAGAAGGATATATATCACAATGCTCATCTCTGCATATCAGTCATACATAATTGCTAAAATCATTTTCTAGTAAGAAAATATTTGGGAAATAATAGCCTATTTAAAAAATGAGAGAGAAAAAAAGTCCTAAAGGAGTAGGAAGAATCTGGTGACACTTAGCACATTTAAAGGATGAAAAACAAATGCAATACATACTGTAAGTAAAAACATTAAACTATTGAAAACACGTGTATGATTCCTAATTGTTCTTGAGTAAAGAAGAAAAGTAGGTAACACTGAATGTTTTATTCCATATTCCTTTCCTAGTAAAATCCCTCTCTTCGGCTATTCTGTAGCCAGAAGCCCACAAGAGCCTCTGACAGGTAGAGGAAACTAAAACGGTAACTCACTGATGTGCTCAATCTCTCCCATGTTCAAAAGTATAAAGATCCACATATTCTGGTCCCGATAATGCAGTTCTTCTTGAGTGAAATTTCATTCAAAACAAGTGCGCTAGTAAGCAGTAACAGACAGTATCTAATTATCTCTACCCTCGCCCTCTGCTGATGCCTGCGTCCTGCTAAGTTCTCTGGAGATGACAAGTGGTCTCTAAGAACAGTCATCATTACGTAGGGTATAGCAAAAGAATTAACATTAGAACTCTTAAAAACAAACACAAAACAGGCTTGGTGAGAGAATATTATTCCTAACTAAATTCACAAGATTTCAGTTGAACACCTAGAAAACATGGACAAGCCAAACGAAGCTGAGTAATGATTTATCTCATCAATGACCTGTGAGCGCAGCCACTTTTGCAGCAACCTTTTCCGCAAAGCCAATTCTAGTATTTAAACCGGTACCCACAGCAGTGCCTCCAGCTGCCAGCTCATAAATCCTTGGCATGGCAGCTTTTATTCTTGTTGTTGCATATTTCACTTGTTGAACATAACCACTAAATTCCTGAAAAGAGAAGGAAATTAAGGTCAGAATATATGATTTTCAAATGGCTTAAAAGTTAACTGCTTTAAGTAGAAAAGACACTGTAAACACAGTAAGCACTAAATTATAAGCACTAAGTGGTATTTATACTATTTCAATTTATATGACAAACAACATATAGGGGAAAAAATGAGGATTTATAAAACTATTATAGGCAGGACACTGCCAGAGATGATCCCATACAGCTTAGTTATTATCTTTTCACAGAAAGCAAAGAAGACAGGACAGGAAATAAACTTTAAATTATTGGTTTAATCTGCATATAATTTTTAATCGTTTGGTGTTTTCCAGAAAACTGAGGGAAAAATAAAACTAAACACTCTCCCAAAAATAAGCAACCATATTGTCTCAGCTTAAAATATTTTACATAGACTAAAGCAGCTACAGGCGTGCTTAACAGGGCACAGTAAGATTAGAGCTTTAATTGAATTTGTTTTTTTTTTTTTACTTTTTAAATTTACTTATGCTTACAGAACTGGGGTACAGGCCAGAGGGGTGGTGGGTGAGAAGATTCACCAGAGACAGAGTGGGGAGCAGAACAGGCAGATGGACTGAGATACACAGCTGAGGGGAGCGGTGTCTGCCCCTCAGGAGAGGTCTGCCGCGCCCTGTGGTCAGCTTCCTGGCGGGGATCGAACTCCTGCTGCAGTGGCTACGGAGAGCTTCAGAATGTGGTGCTTTAACCCGCTGCACCACCAGGAGAGCCCGAATTTTAACTGTTTTTAAAATTACATTAGCTTCCAAAATATGACTCACTGTAAATAAGGTAACCCCAGGATCACCTCTGTTTGAACATAGCAAACGTCCCACAGCAAACAGTATTTGGAGGAGACAGAAGCTATAAACCAGAATATTATATGAGCAAGTGATACATGGTTATACTGAATCTATGCGTTTTTCCTGTCTAAAAACAGAAAAACCACACATATTTTTGATTAATAATAACACGATTTCATGCTGTTCCAAGGAAAACATTTTAGAGGCTCTAAGTCCTTTCAGGTAGACTTCATCTACATCACATCACTCTTGTACATACCAGCCAGTCTCACTTTAGAAACATATTTCCATTGCGGAAAACTACATGAACTGAAAAGATAATTCCAATAAAAACAAGTATCAATACTGAAATAAAATATCCAAACAAAAACATAACTGTAGTTGTAACAGGCAGACTAATGATTTCAGCAGAAGGCTGAGCAGGGATCCGAATGATCCACAGAGCTTACCCAACAGGTCACATGTAACTGCCACCTTAGGAATTATTCATGACACAAGAAAAACAAGACACAGCTTTCAGAAGCAAACTCATTTACTCATTTCCACTTAGATTATCTGTATTTTAATTAATCATCTTGAGTTTTTCTCATTCCTTCCATAATGAAATTAAGCTAAATGATCCCACTTTTCAGTGTTTGCTGTCATCTGCACAAAACTACATGTGAAATCTTTCCAAGTAAGCATCAGAAAAACTCCCCTCCCCTCAATTTCTACATTATTTGACGTTTGGCATACATCATCTTATCTTGATAGATCACTAGTGTATATGTTTACCTTCCATACTGAGGTGAGTTTACTAAGGTGAGTATACCGTCTATCTCCTGTGCTATGAATCAGACTTTATTAAAAGATTTATTTATTTAAACATAGAATAACTGGGGTGTAGGCCAGAGGTATGGAGAGGGACAGTTGACAGGATTCACCAGAGGTAGAATGGGGAGCAGAGTGGGTAGATGTGTTGAAATACACTGCTAAGGGGAACAGTGGGTGAGCCCGGAGAGGTCTGCTGCGCCATGTGGGTCGGCCCCCTGGCCGGGGATGGAACCCACACCATCATGTGACAGCACTGAGCTTAACTCCCCACCCACGAGGGAGGCCCTGAATTAGACCTGCCTTAAGGCACTGACAAAGAAATAGTAACATATTGTACTTCTGGTATTTTGGAAGGCAGAGTAACACCTCTTCACATGTGGTCAAAAGAATTTCAAATAGAAAGATACGCATTACTTAACCACTCAGAAACTACGATTTAAAGAACTCGCTAATTTAGAATAAGAGAAAAGGGTGAAGAAATTAGAATAACAATATTGATAAAAATGATACTAATCATAGCTAACGCCAATATATGTTTAGCATGGCTCTAAGCCCTTTACAAGAGCGATGCTTATTTGATGCTCATAAGCAGCCTACTTTCTTCAGTTAGCACAGAAAGCCTAGAAAGTTTTCCTAAGGTTCCACAGCTTCTAGACAGCAAAGCTGAGACTCAGCGTCTGCTCACTGTCAACACGCTTTGCCCTTTCCCGATGTGGATATGAACAAAAGCTTCCGATTTCTCACTGCAGCACAACCTGTCGCTGTGTCCAACACGCTGCCCTTGCGCGGTGTCGAGGCGACACGCCGGGGCCGGTGCAGCCCTAAAGGACTCGACGCAATCACACTCCCGCACCTGGCCCAGTGTGAGCGGAACGGCGTCCTGAGTGTGCGTGCGGCCGATTTTGATGACTTGGGCAAACTCCTTAGATTTTGCACTGAGAGCGTCATGCAGCTTCTGTAGCCCAGGCAGCAGTACCTCGTGAACTTCCACGGCGGCGGCAATGTGCATGGCCGTGGGAAAGGTATCATTTGAGCTCTGTTGGGAGTTTACAAAAGAAATGCAAACCATTAGATACGCTAAAAAACAACTTAGAGTCTCATAAAATGCACTAAATGACGACTCAAAACTCAGTACATTTAGGACATAATTTAGGTGTGGCAAGACGTGGGTCATTTAGAATTCAGAAAGAAGCAAGCTGGTTTCCTACAGAGCATGCACTCAGACTGTATTATATATGCCATCTACACGGACTGTATTTGGTATTATTATTATTAAATCTGCCCACTACTAAGTATCAGCGAGAAAGAGTAGTTAACAACTTCATGTAAGGAAAGCAGCAACACAGTCATACAATACATATAATCTTACACAAACATTTCGTCACTTACAGATTTTAGGAAAATTTTGTGAGATAGGTTTAACTACCTAAAACTAAAAAAAAAATCAAGCTCTCAAAAAATGATGTACGTCGCCAAAATATTTAGGAGCTGGCAAAATGACCAGGCTAGGTGGTGTAAACTCTATGCTCTTCACAACTGTAACCTCATAATTTTTAATTATGACGCCATTTAAGAAGCTACATTCATTATTTGAATGACATCATCAACCACGTACTTACCAAGTTCAAATAACTATCAGCAGGATCTTGTATCATCTATAACTACATAGTACTATATTATTATAGTTATATATATTACATATAATATATATAACTAAGTAACAACAACTATATAAGAACGATATAATCCTCCAGCTGAGCATGTGCAGTGGATAATTTTGAAATGGACTTCAGCATTCAGAATATGTAAAGGATAATTTCATCTTGAAAGACAATCACTGAGCTTGAAAATCCTTTATACTATGAATTTATGTAAAAAAGTATCTTCTTTAAAAGTGAAAAATAAATTACTCCTAACACCAAAATCTTGGTTTCTAAATTTCTTTCCCCAAAGAGACCCTGTAAAAGTTCCCTGGGAAATTATGGTTGCATTATGGGGTCTGGTGTAGGAAAATGCAAGGAGCTTGTAGTCTTTGTGCAAGAAAATAAAGAAATACTTAAAAGAAAGAGTGAGATTTCTAAAAGACAAAGAAACCAACAGATCGGGCCCCCAAAACTAATAATCTGATTAAAAAAAAAATCACTGTATCACAACCTTGAGCATAAAATAAATATCCGCTAATTCACACCAATATACACCAAGCAAATGACTGGACAAATAACTAAATGAGGCGGAGGGAGAGAACAAATCTTTACAAGAAATGTTCAATAACAAATGCAGAAAGAATAAGGGAAAGAAAACCACTATTAACACACCTCATCAGTGGCATTGAAACGAGCCGTAGCTGCGCTGGGCAAGACCCGCAAGGAATGCTAACATCAGTGACAGAAGCTGGGCTGAGAGGCTCCTTCATAGCTTCAAAGTGCCCTGTTAACGACTGCGGCGATTTTAACTTACATCAAAAAGTTTCTTCATATTTCTCTCTCTGGGAAGCAGAACCCAAGTGTACTTACTACTTGGAGTAGAGGCAGAACTTAGTGACACACTTACAAAACAGAACAGAAGGGGAAGAACAGTAATTTTATAGCAGCGAAAGCTGGCAGACACCATCTTAAGCAAAGCGCGAGCTAACACAACCAGTATTGGCATATTGTTATCATGAACCCCTGGGGCAATCGTGAGAAGACTCCTTCACTTCCACTCCCAGTCATCCCCGTAATCCACAGCCATTTTCTTTCCTTCAATTTTTATTTATTTTTTCATAGAAGAACTGGGGGTACAGGCCAGAGGCAGTGGGGATGAGAGGATTCACCAGAGACAGGAAAGGTCTGCTGTGCCGTGTGGGTCACTCCCTGGCTGGGCTCTAACTCAGGCTGTGCCAGTGGCAGCACTGAGAGTGAAGCCCTAGGCCACCGGGGAGGCCCCAAATCCAGTCAAACTGAATCATGAGAAGACATCAGACAAACCCAAACTGAGGGAGATTGTACAAAATACCTGACCACTTTCAACAGTGTCAAGGTCATAAAAGACAAAAGAAAATGACACAGCTTGGAGAAAACTAAGGGTATACAAAGAATGAAAAGATGTCTTTTTCATTAAACAGCATAAGCAGAAGGAATCTTCTCTGTCAAAGGGCCACAAATCTAACCTTTTTTTTTCCGATTTCTAATGAAGAAAAGAATCTAGATATGTACTTACCTGGCTTTTGTTAACATGATCATTGGGATGCACAGGTTTCTTGCTGCCAAGTTCGCCTCCCAGCATTTCGATTGCTCTGTTGCTAATGACTTCATTCACATTCATATTTGTCTGGGTTCCTGATCCAGTTTGCCACACCACAAGAGGAAAATGATCATTTAATTTACCTTCAGCTACCTGAAGAAAAAAATATTAAAGGTAAATTTTTGTAAATAAAAAATATTTGATATTAATCTAGCTATTTTATTCACTATGATTATGACTTTTTAAAAGATGTTCACGTCTTTCATAAGTTAAATGATTTGTTGATGGTATCATTGTGTTCATGGCTATCTAGTGAGTCTAAGCTTCTGTGGCACTACTTTGTTCCAATAACTGCTACTTTAAAAAGTAAAAAAAATAGGCCCTTCCTGGTGGCGCAGCAGGTTAAAGCACAAAGAAGCTTAAGCCACTTCCGCATGAGTTCAATCCCCGCCTGCCCCGGAGGTGACCCACAGGGCGCGGCAGACCTCTCCTGACCCGCCCGCTGCTCCCCTCAGCAGTGGACTTCGTCGATCTGCCTGTTCTGCTCCCCGCTCTGTCTCTGGTGAATCCTCTCACCCTCCGCATCTCTGGCCTGTACTCCAGTTCTGCACAAATAAATAAATCTTTAAAAAAAAAAAAAAAGTGAAAAAATATCTCTGAATTGTGTAACAATTTCAATGATTTCAAAGTGAAAATCAAAGTAACCTTTCTATTTCTCCACTGCTTTCCCTGAGAGTACCCAGACAGGACCACTTACTAAGGCTGGTAAATGTATGACATCTTCATTCACATTTATTGCTGGTGTCCACAGGGACAGGCCATGGACGTTACAGCCAGCGTCAGCATGGTGGTGAAGTAGGGACTCTGAAGCTACTTCATAGCACAGATGTCTAGTGAGCAGCAACTGCCAGCTACAGAGACCAACAAGGTCCAGGTTTGCCCTTATTTTTTCATGGTTTTTGCTTGAGCTAATGTGTTAATTTCTTATCTGTAAGCTTTCTAACTGTGGATGCTTTATTAGCTAGAGTGATTTTAGCTTCAAATAATTTCACTGCACTTTAGAAATCTATAACCTTAACGTAATACCTATCACTTTAGGTAAAACATTTTTCCTGTTATACAAAAAGTGTCAGTGTAGAAAACTTGGAGAACTGAGAAAACTTTAACATAGCTCTCTTTGAGGAATAATGCCTACTAACATACAGTCTCTCTACTTCAAGCAAGATTGTGTGTGTGTATATATATATATAGAGAGAGAGAGGGAGAGAGAGAAATACATATTTTCTGCTGATTTTCTTCTAAACAAAATTAAAATAACAACATACATGTATTTTGCTACCTCCCCTTCTCTCCCACTTTTTATACAGTAGGCTTTATTCTATGACATTCTTTAAAACACTAATTTCCCATGACTTTATAATTAAGCAGCTGTTATGGCTGGATACAATTTAAATTGTTACTATCAAAAATATTATATAATATTGCAACACACAACTGTGTAGCGTTTAACCCATTTCCTCTATGTGCTTCATTCACCATTAGTGAAATTACACTCTTCATACATATTTATCAAACAACCAAATAATTTAAAAAGTCATTTCTACATAAAAAAGGCAATCAGATATTGAAGTTGAAAGTATCTCTTCACAGTTTTCTTTAAACTGAATAAATTATGTATACGCAATGAAAACTTCTCTAGTGACCCTGCCTCTGGTCTGCTGGACAAGCATTAAGATGTCTTTTTATAAGCTCCACTCCTTCCATGCAAAAATCCACTTTCTGAAGGTATAGGTCAGTTTTCTCAGAGGAAAAAAGATGGACATTCAGTGGATGTCAATGGATATCCAGCTCTACCTCGCTACAGAGCGGGGGAGACCAGCAAGCCAGCGTGAGCTCCTTCTTCTAGCATCACCTGCATTGCCTCACGTCCCGATAGGGCCAAGCTAGAGCTTGGAGACCCTCTTACCAGAATAGTTACTTTCTTGATGTTAGGGACTGTTTGTGGCTCTATAAACTAAACTGAAACTTAGTTTGGAGCAGGTCTCAGAGAGTGTTGGAGGGCTTCCCAGGTTTGAATTCTCACCTGAATATCTAATAAACTCTTTGTCTAAGTATTGTTGGCATTTTATTTTTCATTTAACAATTAAAAGGAAAAGTCAAAAGAATGAAAAGATCCTAGAACATCCAGAATTTTGCCACTTTCTAAGCACCAGATGAATCCCCATCTGGACAGTGATGCCTCAAAATCATCAGGGCCCCTTCCCTCAGCCCAGAGCTGGTCGCGGGCCGTGTCTGAAAGTAAACACGTTCATCACCACCTACCTCATCTGCTGCCTTCATTATTGCAGCAGCGATCTTTGGATCAAGACCATAATCCTGGTTTACTTCAGCAGCTGCTCGCTTCAAGATGCCAAAAGCTTTAATAACTGGGATCTAAGATTAATCAGAAAAAACATTTCAAATTTGCAATCTGAGCTAAGCACGAAGATGTACTGTTATATGCAGCGGGAATTTGTACATAAAACAGTAAAGAAATGCCATAATGCTAGAAGCACTAGGATGCAGAGAAAGAATAAAGCTAGGTACACAATGAAGAGGACTGAACAAAAACAGACTCTTAATATATGTTTCACACACATACACTACATGTCCAAACATAAACAATGTACCACTGCAGCGATTTTTGTAATAAATTATAATGCATATGTGTTTATTTCATATATGCAAAAGCAATGGTGTCCATTTCACTACAAAGCACTATTGTTTTCCCTCATTGGAACTCAATAATTTTTCCTTCTTCACTGAAAAAACAAAAAACAAAAAACCCAGTAATATAGTAACTGCCAATTAGGATGAAATCATCAGTTACTGAAGAGGTATTATTTCATCCAAAGCCAAAAAACATGATATCCTAATTACTCAACAAAGTCATGACAGTGTGACTGGAAATTTCTCGCAGAAGAATTATTTTTGAACCATCCAGCCTTCTGTAGACTTAAACTTGTTCATTTCTGATATATGTAATTACATAGTTTTATTAGCCATTCTCTTTCTGTGACAAATCACCTCATCAAATTAAAAAAAATAAGTAGCATTTGATAAGATTTCAATGAAATGATACTTGGTTTTTGCAAGGTAAGTGAACTAAATGTTCTTGTCAAAATTAATAAGAGATCAATAAAACAGATTTGTGTACAGATGCCAACCCAAGTTTAAACAGGGAAAAAGAAAGGGAGACAGGGAGAGGAAAAGGCTAATTCATAAAGAGAAGCGGGGCTTTCCTGGTGCAAGGTTTAGTCTCAGCACTATCAAGCTACTGCCAGCCGCTCCGGCCTGAGTTCAAGCTCCAGCAGGAGCTGACCCGCAGGGCACAGCAGCCCTCTCCGGTCTTGCTCCCCTCGGCAGGGTATTTCAGTAGATCCACCTGTTCTGTTCCCCTCTGTGTCTGTGGGTCTCACCCAGGCGCACACCTGCAAGAGACCTCAGGTTCCAGGAACAACCACCGGGCTTACTGTACAAACAGGGGAAACAAAGCGCTCACTATGGCCGCAAGTGGCTGGATATCTCAACAGGTAAGCACCAGTGATGGTTGCTACTGGTCTCCGGAAGTGCTGTGCAGCGCTGGTCAGATACGATGGTCACTCCTGGTTCGTTAAGAGGCGATGTCAGAGACACCAAGTGGTACAGCTCTGTGAGCTGGTTGGTCTTTACCAACCACAAATAACTGAGACACCAGGCCCATGCAACATCAGAGACAGGACTGGAGGCCCAGTCTCTGACAGAGATCTTCGGCGTTTCTTCCCTCTTCAGAGATTTGCAAGTAAAATATTAAAGAAAAGCCTATTTTCTTTCAAATTGTTTTTTTTAAAACTATGTACTAAAATTTTACAATGTCTACATTTTTGAAAAATCCCAGCATGAATTAAAAAGATAAATCACTTAGTTCTATCAAATAAAATATGAGAATACTCACAGCTACAGTTCAAAAACTAAGAGGTCACAAAGTTCCTCGACATTTTAATAAAAGAGAAAAGTATCATTACTCACAAAGTCAGTTCCCTATTTACACTTTAACTGAAAAATGTTTATAAAACCAAGCGACGCATCTGAATAGCCCAGGCCAGCTGTGGAGGATTTTAAATGCCTCACGGAGTAATGGCAAGCAGAGCCGCAGACCCACTTACCGGCATCCGTTCCGTCGCACCCCCGATCTTGAAGTTCATTGTAGACCTCACAGTCTGGGCCCCGTAATACTTATCGTTTGGGACCTTGAGCTCCCCGAAGGTGTCATACTCTACCCGATAGGCGCTCTGGCTTGCCTACGGAGGAGGGCGAGACGTTAGAACTGTCAAAGAAATCGAACACAAAGAGCGACATCATAGTAACTGTAAGGGAAAGAAACTTAAACAGGTGCCACAGAGACAAAGGTTCGCTTTGATCGTCACCCTTCTCCCTGCCCAGCCCTGCAAGGGCCTCCTGAGCTTCTGTCACACAGAATTGTCCAGGCGTATGTTGGAGACAGACTACACAGATGCCAAATAAAAAGAAAGTCTTAGAAGTAAAAACAGTAGTTATTTCTAATTAGGAGAATATTTATTATCAAGTTTGACCAATTCAATGTCCTTAATACTGTACTGGGAGCTTCAGAAAACAGTCACAGAGCAATACTTTAAGATTTATAAGTATGACTATTTAAACAAAAGTTAGCTGTGTACAAATACTATGCACACACTGTAATATAAGTAATCTAGATTTTGCAAACAGATTGCCCACCACTTAGTACTGGGTCACCTTCAGCAAGTCAGTTTTTCTCATCTATAGATTCAAGTAGATGTACAGAAAAGAAGAGGTGGGCTTTGGGAGCTTCAGGTAATGGAATTCTTTGAAAATGATGGTAAATTTATGGGTTCTCTCTTTAGGAAAATGAACATAAATATTATGTGCAAAGTCTTAGATAAAATGTTAAGGAGTTTATATCTTGAAACCAATCTAGAACTAGTATAACCAAAGAAGTACTTTTTCCCTAAAATTCTGCAGAGGGCTGCCCTCAGCTAACGAAGGGAAGCAGCTCACAAACATAATCATGCTCCGCATCACTGTGCTATGCAGCAAGAACCTGCAAGCACTACCTTGCTTCACTTTCCGAACCACTATGATGATTTCACTATTACTAACCCTACCTTAGAGAAGGAGACTTGTAAAGATAAAATGTCATGTATCGGCAAGACTGCAAAGGGGTGTGGGCCGGCCAGGCAAGTTCTAGAAACTCTTGGGTTCGCGTTATCATTACTTCTACGAGCCAGATAACAGAGGAGTAAGTCCAGGCCAGCACATAAAAAGCCCTCGAGTGCGCTCTCACCCGTAAAACAACAGGAGCTGCAGATACACGCTTGGATTGTGCTCCAGAAGAGAGAGCAGCGGACAACAAGCCTCTTACCGGCAAACTAAAAGCAACTGGGGTTTCAGATTTCCAGCACACACGTGAAAATATCTGCACGATTGCACGCCTTGCGCCAGCCTAGCATATCGTCTATGATCTTTGACTCAGATACTCAGTATCTTCTAGGTCACAACACACTTGTCCGACAGACTCCCAAGTACCGTGCGGCCGGGACTCCTGCGCCAGGTTCTTTCTCTCCATCAGCTTTTTTTGAGAAAGCAACAGAGTCCAGAGCTCCAAAGGGAAGAGGCCGTTTTCCGTGAAACATTTATAAAATCAGGTGCCGAAAACTTGCAAAACTTTTTTGTTCAAAAGTATTATTTTCATCATAGAACAGCAATAAATAAAACTTGCCCTCTAACACATTGCTAGAATAAAACTCAGATGTATTCAAAGTTACCTGGAAAGATGTGGATGAATAAATTACGATTTTCAGCTTAATAAGAAATAAATTCTTACTCAAGAATTCATTACAATTTGACACTGATCGCTTAAAATGTACACTAAGTCGACTGTGGCTGAAATGCAGCCTCAGCAAATAATTTCAAGAACAAACTACTTACAAAAAATAAAGCATTCGCAATTTGCAACAGCATTCCCAAATTGCACATTGTTTGTGGCCATTCAGTTAGCTAACAATAAACTATCTAAACGCTGACAAATTTAATACCAGGAAATAATAAAGGTTGCACAAATCTGTAGAACAGAAATTGAAGAAATGCTGTAAAATATAATTAGAGAAAACCTGTTAAGAGGCTAGGCCTATGCAGGCCTGATGTCTGTGGGGTACGTGTGGGTGTAAAAGTGTGTACGTGTGTACACACACACACAGGGATAATGAACTAGTGACGGCGGCAGGTTTTTTCAAATGCTCATTACAAAAAAGACCATGACTGAGAATATGATTGAGTTTATATATAAACACACTATGCACACGAAACTGAAACCCAATTTCTATGAAACAATGTTAAGATCATTCACTCACTGTTACTCTATTCTGTCAGTACAGTAACAACTGGGCTAGCGCCTGTCAACCACACAGATTCTGGCATCTACAAGTTTGAAAACTTGTGTGTAGTTTCCAAAAGACTTCATCATTATCACATACATCCTCTCTTCCTAGTGGCTTGGGCAAGGGAGATCGGGGGCTCATCTAAATTACTGGGAAAATGATCAGTGTTGACGGTGAATAATGGAGTAATGGATGGCATCTCACACACATGTACACATGTGTATATATCTAATCAGTTGGTAAATATAAATAATACAAATTATGTAATAGAAAATACTGTAACATATTGGAAAATTTAAATTCATCTGTCTAGTCCATTTCAACAGAAAAACCAGTCTTTTGGAAACCATCTCTTGATGTCCTGTAATTAGGTGAGCAGAGATTCCGGAAGGGCTTTGTCGCTTCAGGAATCGGCTGCGAGACTTAAGGGCTGTAAGCAGCCAGCGATGGGGCAGGCGCACAGGCGCAGCACCCCCCC